GGAGCGACGTGCGACCTGTCAGAGCTTGATCTCCGATCGCAGCTGCCTCTGCGCGTCCTGGGTATGTACCTTTGTCGCGCGCCGGAGACGACTCGACGCCGCTGAGATCGGAGATCAAGCTCTGACAGGTCGCACGTCGCTCCTTTGACGCCGACGTGACTCACCCGTGCAGATCACATCAGGACACGGTCTCGACACGCTCGGTACGACGCCTGCGACCCGTCTCGGGTCAGGTGGCACGACGCTCATCCGCCTACCAGCGCTGCCGTGCAGGTTGCCACGACGAGGTCGAGCACGCTTCTATACGCTCGCCCAGCCTTCCTTTCCATCCCATTAGGCAGCCTGGGAACGGTGGCGGTCAGAGGCAAAGCCTGCGAGGGGTGGTGGAACCACATGTCACGGCTACCGCCGGCTCGACCCCACGATAGCCTCCGGAGGCTGACTTTGAGGCACCATCATCGGACGATGTTGACGAGTTGGGTCGCTCACGCGGTAGCCAGATGACCTCTCATACTAGTATCATCGGCCATGGCCGCAGGAAGCGCGGGGGATTCCGCTGGGAGCAACACGGAGCTCCGTTGGACGCGTTTTCAAGATTAGCGTGTCAGAGTGAATTGGAACTAGCCTGCGTGGAGAGAGAGAGAGAGAGAGAGAGAGAGATTCTCTCTCTCTCCCTGCGTGGCTACGGGGGGCGCGGGCGAGAATGCCAATTGCTTTCAAACACACTCTGCGGAGCTCGCACATCGTACTCGCGTGTCTCGTGGGTCGTGGCGTCGACGAGTCGTCGTGCACGCGCGTGACGCACAGGGATTTTAAACCGTGCCCAGTGTTGTGCGAGGGAGTTTTAAAATTCTTTTGTTTTGTTTAAATTCTTTTGTTAAAATTCTACGGCGCGAATTCTTTTGTTTGGTGAGCCTGTGTGTGTGCCAGTCCGCGCCAGTCTGCGCCCTTGTCGTGCCAGTGTGCTGTGAGAGAGGCTTGTATCTTAAGAATTCTTTTGTTTAGCCACAACGAAATCTGGCCACTCGTTGCGGTGCTGGACAGACATGCATGTGGTGCTCCGCGCGGCGCGAGGCGCGTCATCTCGACTCGCGGCCGTCACCACGCCACGAGCCCCGATCCTAGCAGGCCTCCGCTCCGCACAGCCGTCCCTGCCGCCACTGCCGAGGCTGCTCAGCACCCAACCGCGCCGCCAGAGAGTCGAGAGAGGTTTGCTATTTGCCGATCTCAAGCGGTGCCGCCGCCCAGAGGATGTGGCGCGGCTGGAGGCGAGGCTGCAGCCGCTGAGGACCACAAAGGAGTGGACTCAGCTCATCACGGCTCACGCCAAGGTCGGGAGCCGCCGCCGCGCCTTTGGCATCCTCGACGAGATGCGGCAGGCCGGATGCGAGCCAAACGTCTTCAGCTACAGCATTCTCATCAACCTGTGCGCAAGGTCGAAGGACTGGAAGACGGCGGTGTCGCTGCTTCGCGAGATGCCAAATGCGGGAGTACAGCCAAACGTGATCAGCTACAACGCGGCCATCTCAGCCTGCGAGAAGGCTGGCCGGTGCGATGAAGCGCTGTCGCTGCTGCGCGAGATGCCTGATGTGGGAGTGCAGCCAGACGTGATCAGCTACAACGCGGCCATCTCAGCCTGCGAGAAGGCTGGCCGGTGCGATGAGGCGCTGTCGCTGCTGCGCGAGATGCCTGATGTGGGAGTGCAGCCAGACGTGATCAGCTACAGTGCGGCCATCTCTGCGTGCGAGAAGGCTGGCCGGTGCGATGAGGCGCTGTCGCTGCTGCGCGAGATGCCAGGCGCGGGTGTGCAACCAAACGAGTACAGCTACAACGCAGCCATCTCTGCGTGCGAGAAGGCTGGTCGTTGGGAGGAGGCGGTGTCGCTGCTGCGCGAGATGCCTGCTGCGGGGTTGAGGCCAAACGTGGTCAGCTACAGCGCAGCCATCTCTGCGTGCGAGAAGGCTGGCCGGTGCGATGAAGCGCTGTCGCTGCTGCGCGAGATGCCTGATGCAGGCTTGTCACCAAACGTGATCAGCTACAACGCGGCCACTTCAGCCTGCGAGAAGGCTGGCCGGTGCGATGAAGCGCTGTCGCTGCTGCGCGAGATGCCAGGCGCGGGTGTGCAACCAGACGTGATCAGCTACAACGCGGCCATCTCTGCGTGCGAGAAGGCTGGCCGCTGCAATGAGGCGCTGTCGCTGCTGCGCGAGATGCCAAGCGCGGGAGTGCAACCAGACGTGATCAGCTACAACGCGGCCATCTCAGCCTGCGAGAAGGCTAGCCGGTGGGAGAAGGCGCTGTCGCTGCTGCGCGAGATGCCTGATGTGGGAGTGCAGCCAGACGTGATCAGCTACAGCGCAGCCATCTCTGCGTGCGAGAAGGCTAGCCGGTGCGATGAAGCGCTGTCGCTGCTGCGCGAGATGCCAGGCGCGCGTGTGCAACCAGACGTGATCAGCTACAACGCGGCCATCTCTTCGTGCGAGAAGGCTGGCCGCTGCAATGAGGCGCTGTCGCTGCTGCGCGAGATGCCTGATGCAGGCTTGTCACCAAACGTGATCAGCTACAGCGCGGCCATCTCAGCCTGCGAGAAGGCTGGCCGCTGCAATGAGGCGCTGTCGCTGCTGCGCGAGATGCCAGGTGCGGGGTTGACGCCAAACGTAATCAGCTACAACGCGGCCATCTCAGCCTGCGAGAAGGCTGGCCGGTGCGATGAAGCCTTGTCGCTGCTGCGCGAGATGCAAGAGGACGGCGTGCAACCAGACGTGATCAGCTTCAACGCAGCGATTCAGGCGTGCGCGGCAGCGCAACAGCTTGATGAGGCGCTGAGGCTCTTTAAGGAGGCGCTGAGGTCGGTCGAACCAAACCGTATCACCTTCAACGCGGTGCTGGACGCTGTCGCGTCGCCGCAGCCAGCCATTGCTCGCGAGCTGTGGCTACAGGGCTGTAAGCGTGGCCTCTATCCCGAGGTAGAGAAGTGGGAAGCCGGCGCCCCGAAGCTAGACTTGCACGAACACTCGGAGGGCGCGGGCGAGACGGCGCTGCGGTGGTGGCTGGAGGAGCGCGTGCCAGCGCTGCAGCCGAAGCCAGACCGGCTCATCATCGTCACTGGCTGGGGAAAGTCGCGCCCCGCCACGCGGGTTAGCGACCTGCGAGGGCGTGTGGAGGGCGCCCTTGCAGCGATGGGCGTGCCCACGCTGCCGAGCGACAACCCGGGGAGGCTGGTCGTGGACATGCAGTCGTGGACCGATAGATAGTTTGCCCCAGTCCAGTGAGTGAGTGAGAGTGAGTATTCTTGATACGAAAGCACGTCGCCCGCTGGCGCGCGTAGCCCTATACTCGAGTATCGATCTAGGTGCGCGGCAGTGTCCAGGGTGGACCACCGCGGCCCGCGGCCGCGGAACCGCGGCGGCGAACGGGGCTGGCGCGCAGAGCGCCGGCCACCGTCGTGCCGCCGGAAAGGTGTTCTAAAAAAGAAAATTGGAAAAAGAAAGGGCGGGGGCGTGCGGGGCAGAGGCCCAACGTCGGGCGGCTTGTCGGGGTCCGGAGAATTCGAGGGGGGAACGAGGAGGGGGGATGGGCGGTCGGCGTCGGGGTCGAAGCCGCAGGGCGTACGGGGTAGCCGTCACTTTCCCGCCTCAAAAGGGCGGGGCTGTCCCGGAAAGTGAGAGACGCCGGGCAGCGTGGCGCATTACTGAACCCTCCCATACGTGTTTGAGGCTCCTCCTTTGCTGTCCCATCTCCTCATCTCTTTCCCGCCTGGGCGGGGCAGCGGGTGGGCGCGCGGTGCGGCGTGGCGTGTGAGTGTGTGCGACTGCAACGACGGACCGCTCAAGGGACCATTGGGTTTGTACTACAAGTCCGCCGAATTTAAGATTTAACTTCAGGTCAAGCCTGGGGTGCTCCAGATTTTGAGCGCCGCGGAGCGGCGCGAAGCGGATTTTGGGGCCTGCCGCGGGGCATAGTCCAGATTTTAAGCACCATCTTGGCCTCTACAGCGCTTCTAGCGCCTCATACATAGCGCGATCGCACCGCAGTGTGGGACTCCCGTGCACCACCCCTCGTCCCACCTCCTTCACTTCCTGCAAGTGAGACTGCTGCACGTTGGTAGTGGTTTAGGACTGTGCGACAGTACCATTGAGCATCGCCGCATGTATTGACGCCCGCCGTGTGCGCATGACGATGGTCGACGCAGGTAGGCTCTTCCTCGGGGCCTTCCGCAGCGGCCTCTTCCTCGGGGCTTCCGCAGCAGCGCCTGCACGCCCGCCGCCGCGGCCGCCGACCGGCGCACCTGGCAAACGCCCCATGACTACTGACCAGGAGGTGCGGGACAGGTTTGCAAAGTACGTAGAGCAGGAGCGACGCGCTGAGGCGGCGGGATTTTTACCTCCGCGGGCTCGCCGACACTGTTGCGGTCAGCAGACGAGTGGTACAACGAAAAGTTTTGGGATGGCGGCATGTTCGGGGTCGGTGCCTCCTCCGCCGCCGCCTCCATTGCCGTCCCCGCGGAGCAGCCCACCGACGCCATCACCGCCAACCCCGAGCAGGCGGCCACCACCGCAAACGCCTCTTTCATCAACACTCTGGCGCCCCAGTCCGTCATCTCCGCTACTTCCGTCGCCGCCGCCACCACCGTCCCCGCCGCCAAACCAGCCCCCGCTACCGTCGCCGCCGCTCCCTCGGATGGCAGTACTGCTTCCGCCGCCGCAACCAGCACCATCGAGGTCAAGGATGCTGTGTCTCTGGGTCTGCTGTCGCCCTGCTGGCTCGGCCTCGGGCCAAAGCTTGACATCGCATTCTCTCAGCCCGGCCCTTCGCGCTTCTTTTCTTGTTGGGCGGGGGGCGGAGCCGGGAGCGGCTCGCGGGTTGGTCCGGTGGGGGGGGCTGGGCGGGGCGGGGCGGGGTGGATCGGGTCGGGTCGGGTTGGGGCGGGGTTGCTCGGGTTGGGGTGGGGCGGGGTTGTGGGGTGGGGTGGGGATGTCGGGGTGGGGAGTGGGTGGGCTTCCGCGTGCCGAGTGGGAGTGGTGTGACTGCTCCTGTGGTGCGGGCGACGGCTTCTGAGGAAGCCGTCGCCCGCGCCTCGCCTGTCGCGTGAATCGTGTCGTGCGACCGCCTTTTGTTGTAAAATTCTTTTCTTAGAGTGGATGGCCGATCCGAGAGCCCCCCGCGGTCTCTGAGGCGCCATGCACGCGCGCATTTTCTTAGCCCAGCGCTGCGCGCTTCTTTTCTCAGGCGAGTGGACGGCCGCTCCGGGACTAGTAGTGCCCCCCTAGAAGTGCTCTCAGGCACTATGCACGAGCTTCGATCTGGCCGCCCCTGCATCCTCTCGCTCCCAATGCCCCTGCCCCACTCATTGCCCATGAACCTCTCGCCCCTCGCCATCGGCTCGCCATGTTCGGAGGAATGAGTCGCATGATAGCATGCCGCCACGCATCTCACTCGTCGCGTGCCGGCTCGCATGGTCGCATGACGCCACATGTCTTTCTGCGTGTGCGAACCTCCCAGCCAGCCTCCTCACCTGCATGCCGGCCCTTCGTCGGTCGGGGCTGTCTGTCCAGCGTATGAGTATAATGTTATGATATATCATCGTCCGTGTATTTTCATAAAGCTAGAGGCCACGGGAGAATTGAGAGGTGCGCCGTATCTACTCGTGGCTGTCGAAATCACCGCCGCCGCAGGCGGCGAAGCAAAATTGGGCGATTTTCGGGCTGTCCAGGCGCTGCTTGAACCCAGATTTTAAGGCCGCGCAGCGGCGCCAGTGCAAATTTTAGGGCCTGACGTGGCGCTCCGCATCAAGATTTTGAGGCCCCCGGGCACCCCCCCTTCAAATCTTAAATCGGCGGACCTGTATTAACAACGAAGGCGCTCTCAAAAAAGAAAACGCCGCGCTTCCAAGACCGATCGGAGCTCTTCGACCTCGCCCGACACGAGGCTCGCCCGCGTCGCTCACGCACCGCTCCCGCCCACTCGCCGCCATCGCCCACGCCACGCTCACGCGTGCCAGCGCTGCGCCCACAGGCGATGTCGACCTTCGGCCAGGTCTTCCGCGTGACGACCTTTGGCGAGTCGCACTGCAAGGGCGTCGGCGCGATCGTCGACGGCTGCCCGCCGTGCCTCGCGCTGACCGAGGCGGACATCCAGCCTCAGCTGACGCGCCGACGGCCGGGCCAGTCGCGCCTGACCACGCCGCGTGCCGAGAAGGACCTCGTCCAGATCCTGTCGGGCACCGAGCACGGGCACACGCTGGGCACGCCGATCGGCCTGTTTGTGCCAAACGAGGACCAGCGGCCGGGCGACTACAAGGAGATGAGCGACATCCCGCGGCCGGGCCACGCCGACTTCACCTACCTCATCAAGTACGGCAACAAGGCCTCCTCGGGCGGCGGCCGCTCGTCCGCGCGCGAGACGATCGGCCGCGTCGCGGCGGGCGCAATCGCCGAAAAGTGGCTGCGCGGGACGTATGGGACGGAGATTAGCTGCTGGGTCTCGTCGATCGGGGACGTCTCGCTGCCGGAGTCGGCCGTCCCTCGCGGCGAGGGCGGCTGCCTCGTCGGCTGGACGCGCGCACAGGCGGGGAAGACAGAGAGAGAGAGAGAGTGAGAGAGAGGCGAGACTGAGCCGGGCCGGACGGCCGGGACACTTGCCTACCTCCCCCGTCTCCGCCGCCGCCAGCACCGCCTCCGCACAGGTGGACGAGTATGGCACGCTGCGCATGCTTCGAGACCCGGCGACCTTCCATCGCGTTGGGGAGGCCGAGGTCGCGGACGCCGACGAGCGGCGCAAGGCGAACATCGACGCCGAGGTTGCGGCGGAGGACGCCTTCCTCAAGCTTGTCGGCGTGCACGCTGGCGCCTCTGCAGCGGGTGTCGCGGAGGCCGCCAAGCGCGGCGTTGCGGCGGCGGCGGCCGGCGCGGCCGAGGCGCTGCGCGCCATGCCGTGCTACGAGGACTGGCAGTCTAGAAGAGCCAGAAGAGCCCAGAAGAGTCTAGAAGAGCCAGAAGAGCCAGAAGAGCCCAGAAGAGCCAGAAGAGCCTGAAGAGCCTAGAAGAGCGGGATGCGTGTCAAAGCCGTCGAGCGAGCGCTCCGCGCGGCGGTGTAGTCTGGTCGCCTCGCCCGCCCTCTCCCCGCCTCTGACGTTTGTGTCGCCAGCACGCGCAGGATTGGCAGGGCGGCGTCTACACGCATGACGGGGGGCGGCTCGGCGAGGCGGAGCTGAAGGGCGTCGACCTCGCGAGCTGGCGCGCCGAGATTCGCCGAGATGTAGCCGAGATGCAGCTGAGAGTACAGCCGAGAGGCAGCCGAGAGGTAGCAGAGAGGCAGCCGAGAGGGAGCAGAGAGGCAGCCGAGAGGGACTGGACCCACACCGGATTCGATACTCTGGAGGTGTGGTACCAGGCGCACCGACGAGCTGCTCCCGCTCCGCTGCCCGCACCCGCCGACGGCGTGCCGGATGGCGACGCTGATCCGGCAGGTCGAGGTCGAGAAAGACTCTATCTCTCCCCCCGTATCTCCCCATATCTCCCCCTATCTCCCCGGCAGGTCAAGGTCGAGAAGGACTCCATCTCTCCCCGTGTCTCCCCATATCTCCCCCCATCTCCCCGGCAGGTCAAGGTCGAGAAGGACTCCATCGGCGGGGCGGTGGCGTGCGTCTGCACCGGCGTGCCGGCCGCGCTGGGCGAGCCGGTCTTCGACCGGCTGGAGGCCAAGATGGCGCACGCGATGATGTCGCTCCCGGCCACCAAGGGCTTCGAGATCGGCTCCGGCTTTGGCGGCACCGTCATGCGAGGCTCCACACACAACGACCCCTTCGTGGCCAACCCGGTCGGCGGCAGGCCCGGCGACAGCGGGCGGCCCAGTACCGCACCACGCACGGAGCTGAACCCACACTGGATTCGGGACTCTGGAGGTATGGTACTAGGCGGCCCGCGCTCGGCGTCTCGTCCAACTACGCGGGCGGTACGCTCGGAGGCATCTCGTCGGGAGCGCCCGTCTACTTCAAGATCGCCGTCAAGTCGGTGTCCACCATCGGACAGGCGAGAGCTGGGGGAGAGTTGGGGAGATGTGGGGAGATGTGGGGAGATCGCCGTCAAGTCGGTGTCAACCATCGCACAGGCGCCTCTCATCTCGGCTCCTCTCGGCTCCTCTCGGCTCCTCTCGGCTCCTCTCGGCTCCTCTCGGCTCATCTCGGCTCATCTCGGCTAACGTGAGAGCCATCGGGCGGGCGCCTCTCTCGCCATCCCTCTTTCTGCCGTCTCTCCACCTAGTCTCCGCCCAATCTCCCCGATCTCCCCCGCCCGATCTCCGCCCGTTCTCCCCCATCTCCCCGCCCGATCTCCGCCCATCTCCCCGCCCGATCTCCGCCCGATCTCCGCCCGATCTCCCCGCCGCGCAGGCGCAGCAGACCTCGCGGCTCACCGGCGAGGCAATCACCCTCGAGGCAAAGGGGCGGCATGATCCGTGCGGCGGACCCTAGAAGCGGGACATCCTCTCTCCCCATCTCTCCCCCTCTCCCCCATCTCTCCCCCATCTCTCTCCCCATCTCTCCCATCTCTCTCCCCATCTCTCCCATCTCTCCCCGAATCTCTTGATCGAGGCCTCGATGCGGCGCGCATCCCCCGACCACCCACACATCTCCCCATCTCTCCCCAGCCTCCCTCAAGCCTCGACGACGTACCACACCCTCGGAGCTGTCCGTCGCAGGTGCGTGCTGCCTCGCACTCCGCCGCTAGTCGAGGGCATGGCCGCGCTCGTCCTCATCGACGCGGCGCTGCTGCAGCGGCAACCAGCACTCGAGAGACACGTCTTCCGCCGTATTCGGTCGCATTCGCCTGTATTCACTGTCTTCTTCTCCGTTTGTACTCACACGGTGCTCTGAGTGCGCTGCACACACGACCGTGCTCGTGCCTTGAGGCTGGCGTTTTCTGCCTCCAGGACGCGGCTGGGCGGGGCCTGCACCACCGTGTGCGACGGCACGCGCAACTTTGACCCGGCGAACCCGTGGGGCGACGCGGCCAACGGCGCCGCCAACGGCGCCGCCAACGGCGCGCCGGCGGCGAAGAAGGCGCGCAAGTGAGGGGCGCAGGGGAGGGCGCGGAGGTCCTGCGGCCTCTTTTGCGACGGCCGCGCCTCCAGCCGTGCCGCACGCGTGGAGAAGGGAGGACGCACGCGGCGCCGGCGGGGAAGGCGGCGTTGCGCGCGAGGTCGGATCCTTCTCTCGCGCCTTCGCATTTCGGTACTCTCGGCCCCGCGCGTTGTTTCTCTTCTCCGCGCGACCCGTGGGGCACCATGGGCACACACCGCTGATTGATTTATATTACGGCTTTAGAGTATATGGCATTTGTGCAATGCTCGTTCGTGCTTCTAAGTTACTTTTCAAGAGAAGTTCTATCTGCACTCTCGTCTGGCCGGCGGAGATGAGACTTGAGAGACAGTGACAGAGTCCTCGCACGTCGCAGAGAGCAGAGGCCAGAGCCGAAGATGTGCCGTACACGGGCGGCACGGGGTCCTGCTGCGCTGGGGCGAGTGGAGGGAGATCAGCAGCGAGAGGTCTACCAGCGCGCGCGTGTGCGCGAGACTATGACCCAGGAGCGCGATCGATCAGGGCGTGGGCCCAGCCTCCCGCTGCTGCAGAGTGCAGTCGCGCTAGCTGCATCTTGAGGTGCTCGAGCTCGCTCCTCTCGCGAGCCTCCCTGGCCTTCTTCTTCCGCATGCGAGCCACCTTGTTCGTCACCTCTTCTGGGGTTGGCGGTGCGCCGCCTTTTTTCTCAAGTATGCGCCGCGCCTTAGCCTCCAGCCCATCGTCGGGCGGGGCGAACGGAGCAGTGCGCACGGGCCGCTGGCCAGCGTCGCTGATGATGCCGCTCAGACTATTTCTCGCGTCGCCAACCATCCCGCTCAGAGTGTCCGTAGCGTCTCCGACGATCCCACCCAAGCTCTCGGTGGCGTCGCGCAGCGCGCTCATAATCGACTCGACCCCGCTGCTACCGCCGCTGCCGCCGCTGCCCCCTTCACCTGCCCCGTTTGGGTTGCGAGGGTCCGCCTCAAGCCTCTGGTTAAGCTCTGCCATGGTTGTTAGCATAGCCTGAGGAGAGGTTAAGGCGGTTAGCGAACCTACCAAGGCGGTCCTGCCCCCGCTGCGCTGGTCAGTGCTATACAGTCGTAAATCCTGGCGCCTTCTCTTCCTCCGTCACAGCTCTGCTCCTCGGCGAGCTTTGAAGCTCAACGTTGAGCTGTGCGAGTTTCTGCAGCACCGCGCGAGAGCTGGGTGATAGAGCCTCTTCCTCGGTCTCGCCCCCAGAAGACTCGGTGGCGGCCATATGCACAGGCTTTGCTCGTGCGTCCCCGATCGTTTTGCACTAATGAAAGAAGATTTCGTTTGCGTCAGGTTCGACACAGGGAAAGAAGAATTGAAGCAAAGGAATTTTGACACAGGTACAGATAGCTCGTGCAGGTGGGGACCCTGTCCTCCTCCCAGGACTTTTTTTTCCAACACAGGTACGCCACAGGACCAAAAGAGGCCCCGTCGCGGGGCGCCTACACGAAGGCGTCGAGGTGGGCGAAGGGGTGAGGGCGGCAATAAAGCCTGGGGCGCTGTTATTCACACCTCTGAAAAGGCCGTTCAAACGCACCCTCTCGCCCCATGCAGCCGGCTGCTTGCTGGTGGCACTAGGGCCGCTGGGACGCGCAAGAAGAATGAGCAAAAAAGACGAAGATGGCGACGAGCACGAGCATGCCAAAGTGGGACTTCGCGTGCGGGTCGAGGGGCAATCCAAGCTCTCTTCACAGGGTGTGGCCGTTACAGGTGGTCGGCCTTACTGGAGGACGGGCCCCGTGCGCGCTCCCAGCGCCGAGCCGCGGCCCCACGCGCCACCTGGGCTGCCTCTGGCACGGCCGGGGTCCGCCGAGAGGCTGGGCTTGGCCGGCGGCGCGACGCGTGGCCTGTGCTGCGTCCGTCTCGGACGTTCAAGCGGCGCCAGCCAGCGGCTCGGCCGCGCATCCTTCACACACGCCGCCACAACCGAGATGAGCGGGCCCAGTGTCGAGCCTTGATGTGAGCTGCATGTGCGCGGCGGCCGTGGCGACAGCAGGTCCACCAGACGGACCTCAAAGCTTGCCGTCGGCGTGCTGTCGTGGCGAGAGCGCGAGACAGCTGCAGAGGAGCCGAGTGCAGTGGCGAGCCAGAGGCTACCTGGGTCACCAATCGCCACCGCGACAGGTGTACGAGAACTACAACCTCGACACTCTGTCGATGCCCAACCTGAATCACGTGGCGGGCATCTACGTGCGCGCTTCTCCCTCTCGCGCCCCTCCGCACTGCCTCCCCTCCCGACCCTTCCCGCGCCGCACTGTGGGAATGCGTCCCCGTGCAGCGGTAACGGCGGGCTTGCCGGACCATGTCTCCCCTGCCTCAGGTCAACCCCAAGCCCGACTCCTGCAGCCTGGGCCAGCGGGGACCCCAAATCTGTTAAAAATCAAACTTTTGGGGGTGCACCTGTTCTAGACTGGGTGTTAGTGCCAGTGCGTCACGAGATCGGTGTGTGTGTGTGTGTGTGTGTGTGTGTGTGTGTGTGTGTGTGTGTGTGTGTGTGTGTGTGTGTGTGTGTGTGTGTGTGTGTGTGTGTGTGTGTGTGTAGTGAGGGGGAGGGAGGCCTGGTGAGTGCGAGGGGGAGAGGAGCGATTGAAGAATGTAACAATACGAGCTTATTTGAAGAGTTTACACGCGACGCCGCCCCTGAGGCGCGCGATACACAGCCCACGAGACTGCGCACAGGACTTTTGGCACACCCTGCATGCACCGGGGGAAGGTAAGGTAAGGTAAGGTAAGGTAAGGTAAATATCTCCACACCCACACAAAGTGGTGGGAAGGCGGCGCCGTTTTTTTGTCCGCACTAACGCCCCGTAGAGCCGTACCGCGTGTGCAGCGCACAAGTCAAGATGCGGGCCGCAACCGCACGGAGATACTTTTCCGCTCTCTCCTACCGCGTGAAAACAGTAACGGTGTGATCCCGAGTCGCGCGCTCCGTCGCGCCCTGCGGGCCAAATACGACATTGAGAGACCAGACTGATGCGAGTATGAGCTGGAGCGGTGTTCCCCGACCACCTTGGTCTCTGCCCGTGCGGTTCTTCTCTCGTTCCTCTGCCCGTGCCTTGGTCTTGTCGTTGTTTCGCATCCATGTCTGTATGGCGATCGAGGCTGCCACCCTAATTCTAGTTCACTACGGCGCAGGTTTTCTTTTAAACCCACATCCCGCCGGACGACGAAGTACTACGAGGTGGATCTCCGAGAGGTGAAGGTCCCAGCGGCCTTGCCGCGCAGGATGCGCCGCCCGGGGCCGATCCTAGGCTTCTTCTTACTCGCGGCCGCCGCGCGCGCCGCTCGGGTGCTCTCTCACGATCACCCCGCGTTTGTCGCCGTCGACCGCGGGGAAGTCGAGAGCCTGCGCGAGTGGCTCGAGGCACGTGGCTGTGCCAACCTGGGGCGCAACGCGAGCGGCTCCCCGATCTCCGTGCTCCGCGGCTGGGTCGGCGGCTTCCCGGGCGCCAGGGGCGGCCAGCAGCCCGCGTGCATCCCGACGGGCGACGCCGCGGCGGGGCTGGCGTTCAAGGTGCGGGAGGGTGTCTCACCGCTGCTCGTGTACGCGGCCAACTCTGTGGACTGGTACCCTTCGCAAGGGCTGTCCAACGACACCGGCGCGCAGATCGCGAGCCTCCTCCTCGCCCACGGCGCCGACCCAAACGAGA